CCAGTAGCTTTGCATTTCAAAAAATTTTCAAGAGCTGAGATCAAGTATGAGATCCACAACAAAGAACTTCTTGTAATTACGGATTTGTTTCAAGAATAGTGCCATTATCAAGAGGTGCATTTAGTCTACTCACCATGTATATAGATCAGAAAAACCTTGAATATTTTATGTCAACACATATTTTAAATCGTCGCGCAACATAATGGAGTATGTTTTTGTCAAGATTCGAGTTAAAGATCATTTATTGATTAGAAAAATAACAAGGTTTCTCAGATACACTAACTAGACGATCTTACCTTATACTAAAGGAAAGAGATGTTGATTTTGATTAGCAACGGATAATTTTCTTCAAGCCAGATATCTTCATCTTTGAGCAATGAAATCAATACTAACTATTGATTTAACTTTTATTAAGCAAGTTCAATTAAGTATGTGGTCTGATCTTCTTATTTGTGATATTAAGGAAAATCCTTCAATGTCTCATGTTATTTGCAAGTTTGAATTCAAGAATAATCTATTATATTTCGAGGGACACTTATATATTTCAAAAGGTGAAACTCAATTATGTGTTCTTTAAGCTCGTCATGACTTTTCAGCAATAAGCCATTTTAGATACAATAAAACTTTGCAACTAATATCTAGGGATTTTTGGTAGCCTCAAATGTGGAAGGTAGTCAAAGATTTTGTATAATCTTGTGATGTTTGCTCAAGATCAAAAACTCCTTGTCATCAACCTTATGGACTTCTTCAGCCATTATCCATTCCAAAACAATCAACATCTTTTGTTCCTATGGATTTTATTACGGATCTTCGAATCTCAGATTCTTATGACTCTATATTCGTGATAGTAGATCGTTTTACCAATATGGCATATTTTGTATTATGTACAAAATCTATCACATGTGAAGAAATAACTAAGCTCTTTCTAAACAATATCTATTACTATGATGGATTATCCAAAGATATTATATCGGATAGAGGAATTGAATTTGTATCAAGATTTTAGTAGATTTTTTTTAAGATTCTAAAAGTAAATATAAAACTATCTTTAGTATTCAATTTTAAAACTAATAGATAAACGAAGCATGTTAATCAAGTTATGGATTAGTATTTAAGATGTACCATCAACTACCAACAAGATGATTGGACAAATCGTTTGCCATTTCCAAAGTTTACTTAAAATAACACGATACTTTCTTCTACAAAATAAATATCTTTCTTTACCAATTATGGTTATCATCTACGACTTGATAATTTTGACTTTTCAAAAGCTGATAATCCTACGGCAAAAGCTTTGGCAAATCATTTGTCAGAGCTACATGTAACAATGAAGGTGTAGTTAAAAGAAGTTCAAGAACAACAAAAGATCAATGCGGATGTCTATCAAAAGGAATAACCACCATTCTATGCAGGTGACAAGGTATGGTTACTTTGTCGTAATATGAAGACCACTTGTCTTTGTGACAAATTGGACTATTATAGACTTGAATCATTTTTTATTTCTACACAAATCAATCTGGTTGCATATCATTTATACCTATCAAAGTCGATGAAAATGTATTCAATATTCCACATATTTCTTTGTGAACCATACAAGATAGTGGACATACTAAGAAGAAGACAAGTTCCACTTCTTCTTATAGAAGTAGACAATAATGAAGTGTTCAAAGTAGAAGAAGTGCTAAGTTCAAGGGGGCACCAAAATAAATTAGAATATCTTAGCTATAAGCACGGATATGGTATAAGTGAATGGATATGGGAACCAATATAAAATCTCGTAAATGCAGCATAGGCAGTGGAGGCTTTTCATTGATAATATCCATCAAAATCAAGATGAAAACCTTCCTTGTAAAAGAAACAAGATCTAAGCAAGTTAACATTCTACTTTCAATCTTTGTTTGTAGCTTCTTTATAATTGTGATGTTAAGGAGATTAAGAATCAATAACCAGTGGGTTTGACTGAAGAGCCTTTGTTTGTTGACCTATTGAACGAGATATTACGATTGTCACAACCTTCAAGATGATGCAATCGAGAGGAAGATCCTCTTAATCACCTTCAAAGAGAACAAAGATCAAAGTATTTGGCAAATATAATTTGTCGCATCTTAAACTTCCTCGACATGTGAGTACCGCTCCTTGTGGAACTCGTCCCTAGAAGAGAGGGTAATGTCATGAACAAATATTTACTGTAATTTTTACTTAAGTGATATGAATAGATAGAAATAAGTAAACATAGGTTAATTTCATAATATCTTCTAAATAAACTTTCTAGAAGCTTCATAGATGTTGTTTTGACTGTACATGTATTTATACTTGATTGGTAGGTTAGAAACTTGGTCAACAAGTTAACCATGTGCCACACATGTTGGTAGCTTGCGGAACAAGCTAACTATGTGGCGTTCACATAAAAAACTTGCCTTGCAAGTTAAGATACATGTTGTACAAAGTCAACATGTTTTTGGAGGTCCTATAGAACGTCGCCTTATAGCTCCTAGACAGATAGTATATATAGAGGCAAGAGTGAAGCCTTCTTCACTCTCGTCAACTCCTTTCTTATTTTTAGTCTAGTTTCAAGGATCTCTAGTTTTCTTATCTTTTGGCAATAGCCATTTTAATTTCTTTCTTAATATACATATTTAGATATTTCTATTTTTTCATCTTTCTTTGAGAAGAGTCTCACTTGTTTATTTATTTTTATCAAGTTCTTGTCCTTGACAGTTTCTTAATAAGAGAAGTAATAATAAGATTAAAAATTTAAAAATTCAATAAAAAATAATAACAATCTATACATATGAATATTAGTGGAAAAGCTTAAAGAAATAAGAAAAATAAAAAAAATAAAAAGATGTCTTTTTTGTAGTGGTTTTGATGAATTGATATCTTTTTTTTATTTTTATTATTATTATTCTTGTTTTGATTAGCTTATATGTTGTTAATGTTTATATGTATGGTTGTTCATGTATGTTTTTTGATGATATTTTTTTATACTTTTTATCGTTATTGTTTAGATTATTGAAAAACTTATATTAGAAGTATATTGTTAGTGTAGCATGGAAAGAAGAGAAGAGATAGGGATTAGGTATCCATGTAGAAAAAAGATGGGTGTCTATTTTAGGACTATCTTAAAGATATCCATATTTTTATTGATTTATATTTTTTAATTTAAAAAAAAAATTATAGTTGCTATCTTTTGTATATTTATTTTGCTTAATTTTGGCCAATGTTTGATATTATTTTGCTTAATTTTGTCCAATATTTGATATTATTATTTTTAATTTATCATATCCAAATAATAAATATATATATTTGGTAGGAAGTTGTAATAAAAAAAATTATATATATTTTCTTGTAATAGAAATAATAATAGAAAATAAAGATTTTTAATTTATTTTTTAAAAAATAGTAATTAAAAATCTAAATTTAACTTTAATAGATTTTTTATAAATAATATATAAATATTATTTATAATAGACTAGAAAAAAAATTATATATTTTTGAGTATAATGTATGTAAGAACCTTAACTTGATTTTGTAATGAATTTTAAGCAAATGAGTTAAAATTAAGAATCTATACTTGTATTATGCAGTTGTTACAAAATTTCTATATTGATTATATAGTTGTTATTATTTGATAATTTTTAGAATCCTTATATTCATTAAGAAATATCTTTTATTAATTTTTTTGTTTAATATCAATCTACCACCTTTTAAATATATATATATATATATATATATATAATTGAACAAAATATTATTAAGGAGTTATGTTTAGAGATACATCTTTTCCATATCAAGCTACTATTAAATATTTTAAAGCATCACTTATTTTATTCTTCCATTATCCACTTCAACAATGTAGTTAAGATTTTAAAGTAAGAAACCTAAAGAATTTTTGAACATTCTTCTAAATACTCTATACCTTGTGATTCTTTCAAGGATTCAAAGGTTCTCATCCAATTTGACTATTCTCTCAATAAAAAAAAAAATAATCATTAGAATGCCTTAATGTATACCTCTATGGTTCTTTTTATACTCTAATGCCTTATCAATGTGCATTGTCCTCTTTGCTTTAGCTATACTACTTTTACAAATTGTAGATGCATACAAATGTTGATTGATTGTTATTGTTATATAAACCTTACACCACTAAAAACATGCTTGTATCCATAACCCTAACTAAGATCACTAACTACAACAACATCATACGTTAGAAATATAAATTTTATTTGCTAAGTAAAACCGACATGAGTCGAAATCAAGTCCATATGGGCCCCACTTCCAATCCATTCCACCACTCTCCATCCCCCTTTAACAGACTTCTTGAATCCAGCACCGGAATCGGGATCCACGTCGGATCCCACTGCCACGAGGGCAAAAGGGGGGGGGTATCTTACGGCAAAGCTGCGGCGAAGGGAGCCGAAGTCGGGGCGCGGACAAAGCGAGGGAGCGAGGGTGTGAAAACGGAGTTGGCGTGGAGAGTCGTGTGCAGCATCATCACCGGGGCACACGAATCGAGGCAGGGCTCCGGCTGGTTACGGCAATGGCGAAGGAGCTGCCTGGCGGGCGGGAGGGCCGGAATGGTGGGTTGCGGTGGTGGGGCAGCGTAGAAACCATATCGTCCCCCTTGCTTGCAATGAGCGTCGACGACGACGACGACGGAGCGAAGGGGGGAGCCAGACAGGGAAACGAGCGGAGGGAGGGAGGGGGTGAGGGAAAAAGCGCAGAGTGTGGTCGGCACTGCTACGAAGAGTAGAAAATGCGTTCGCATCATTGCAAAAAAGGGGGGGGGGACCTTTTGCGGCTCTTTCGAGCATGTGGGTCAATATAGAGTACTGACAGTCCTACTGCTCTTTCAGGGCTGAGCACTACCGCTCACCGGTGTAATTTTCGGCACCACGTTTAGGCCGAAATATTGCACGTGCTGGAATCTACACGACTAATGTGGATGATGGAGGGTTATTTAATGGGCGGAAATGTGGGTATAAAAAGGTAGGAGGGCATCGTTCCGGAGTGGTAAACCATGCACGCTCTCTTGCGAATTGGGTGTGATTGCTTGTGTTTTTTTGGTTGGGGGAGCTCCGAGGGAGGATTTTGAAGGAGGTGGGCGGGTTTGTTGACCTTGTTCCAAGCGCAAGGGGGATGCTCTTCTCTTTTAAGTTGCAGTGCAGTTCCGGTGGTGTCTTTATCTCAACGTCAAGCGCGTGAGTCGTGATTGCATTGATAACGTTGATAAACCCCCCGCTGTACAGTGATGATTTCTGCAACCGTATCAACTGGAAACCAGTACTTGCCAGGCCACCCTGCTTTTTGGCAGAATCTCCTTGTCAGACCTTGCTGTACGTGCTTTGGAAGGAGAGCATGGTCCTTGTACTGTGATAGAAAACGACTGTCTCCCATTGTGAATTTCATGAAATGTAGGATTTGTACTGTAGCTAGTTGAAGCTTCCTTTCTCGTGGAATTGCGTTCCTTTAGCTGCTTAACTAAGTGCATCTTATCAGGTCGGCAACTTGCGATTAGGATTAGGTGTTTTGCTGAGAGTGAGAGTTGTCTGGTGGAGACGATAAGGGAGGTTTTCGTTCTCAGGAACGTAGTCGGTAGTTTTCACGAAAGGACCTTCCGAGTTATTTCGTCACTTTCTCCCGGGTGTGAACTACATACGAGACTTGCAATCTGAAAATTGTGCGTGCGTGTGTGTGTGTGTGTTGCACTACAGAATCAATGTTGGTATTCCTTTGATCAATGGCTCTTCATCAGAAGAATCTTTACACATGCATTGTTTTTCACGCATGGAGATTCATCATCTCCTGAAGCAGCAGATCAAGCGAAGGGATTGGTATGGGTGTTGCAACAAACGTCTGAGCAAGCATCAACTTTATCTCTTTCATGGTCAGCTTTGAAATGGATATTTGAACTCTCTCTCTTTCTCTCTCTCCTGTGTCTGGCAGCCGCCAATCAAGCAGTGATAAACACTTAAAGAGCATTTCTTCTTTTGTTTTTGCTTTTTTGGAAGTTCGAAGAGATTTTCATAATGGGTGGCCAGATGTTTGAAGTTGGGAGTAAGCTTGGATCCCTTCGTCAAGTGACCTTGTCACTGGATGGTCTTTGGATGCTCGTAGACAAAGACAAAATGCTGGCTACAGCATTCTTGGTCGGATTCTTGGCCTGGGCGGCTATGATTTTGGGAAAATTTATCCTTGAAGGGATCCAGCGGAGAAATCTGCCTCCTGGGCCTTGGGCTTGGCCAATAGTTGGAAGTTTGTTCAGCCTTGGCCCCCTCCCGTATAAAACTCTCCGCGTATTGGCTAAAAAGCACGGGGAGCTCATGTATCTGCGCTTAGGATCCATCCAATCAGTTGTAGTTTCCTCGGCAAGCATGGCAAAAGAAGTCGTGACTAACCACGACCTCCAATTTGCCTACCGCCCCACAAAGCTCTTCGGCAAGCTATTATTCAATAGCAAGGACATTGTGCATGCTTCGAATGGACCTGCTTGGCGCCATCTCCGCATGATATGTACCTCTCAATTTTTCACTAAGAAGCGTTTAGCGTCGTACGAAGCAACGAGAACATTCGAAATCCACACACTAATGAAAGACATCTTACGTAAGTCGTCGAGTGAAGACTGCGTCGTGAACCTACCATTTCAGCTCCGAAACACGTCTACCAACTTCATTTCACAAATGGTGTTCAATAAACGGTACGTGCATGCGGGTTGAAGTCAATTGTTGCTGGGTGGCGGGGTGTCATCATTGTACACAGAGTCGCAGCAAACTGGAAAAATCATCCTTTATGGAATTCTGACATGTTATTTTGTGTCTCATAGGTTATTTGTCGAAGGGGAAGAGAGTAACGTAGAAGATGCTAAACGATACCAAAAGATTCTCAAAATTCACTTTTCCTCCTACGCTATCTTTGTCGTCAGCGACTACATACCGTGTCTGAGATTTATCACAAAATTACAAGGGATCAGAGGTAAATTTCAGCAAATTGCGGACAAGATCCACAAGAAGATGGATGAGATTATCGACATCAACGGACACGAGCGGCGCCGTATTGATGCAAATCACAAACAAGACGCAGACCGCAAGAAAGACTTCGTTGATCTACTCTTGGAAACGACATCTCACGACGGCAAGGGCACGTTAGACCATGAAACCGTTCGAGGAGTCGTGATGGTGAATCTGATCATTAAAACCCTAGCTCTGATGTACCGCTCGCAGCGAACTCATATTACGAAACAACACAATATGTCGATGTGTAATTCTCACATGTAGCAAGTATGTCCTGCAGGATATGTTATTCGCGGGAGCAGAGACGCAATCGAGCACATTGGAATGGGCTATGGCGTTCTTGATACGTAACCCGGGAGTGATGAAACAAGTACAAGCGGAACTTGACGGTGTGGTGGGTACTGAACGAGTTGTCCAAGAATCAGACTTGGAAAAATTGCCATACCTGGAAGCTGTGGTGAAGGAGGTGATGCGTGTGAAACCTGGTGCTCCTATTGGCATCAACCATGAGTCACGCGAACCACGTCAAGTCGCAGGACACTACCTGCCCGCAAAAACTCGCTTAATTTTCAACATCCATGCTATCCATCGAGACCCATCTGTTTATGATCGGCCCGACGAATTCGATCCAACCAGATTCTTGAGTCCCGGTAAAGGGAATGTGCCAACCGGCCAGGAGTTGTTCCAGCTCATGCCCTACGGCGCAGGCCGACGCATTTGCCCTGGGATGCCTCTTGCCATTGTGAACATTCCTCATGTTCTTGCTCACCTCGTGCACAGCTTCGACTGGTCTCTGCCAGCCGGTCAGGACCATCGCGAATTGGACATGACGGAGAAATTCGACGGTGTCACTAGCCCTCGGCTACATCCTCTTCACCTCATTCCACATCCCAGAAAACCAGCTTTCCTCTATAAGTGATTTAAAAAGGTCAACAGAGAATCAGACTGCTAAACCCAGTTGTGTGCAAAGTTGAACAGTTGTGTGCAAAGTTGAACAATCTAGAGCTCTCCCAGTTACACTGGTTTGATTTGATGGCGTAGGTGTCTACTCATTTACCAATCACGGGGATGACTATCTAAAATGACACGTGAATACTTCCACTATACTCCATCACGAGCTACAGTTACCCTGAACCGCACTCGAAAATTCCGTATCCCTTGAATGCATTCGAATCAAAGAAAACTTGGTACCAGTAGTACTCGGCAGGGTAACATCCCCAATGACTAATTGATAATGCTTTTACTGGGATAGAATGTGAGTAGTGCATCTCTGAAGACCATTCATGTACATAGGAAAAATAATAATAAAAATAAAAAATTTGGATTGTACAACAAAAGTCCTAGAAACCCAAGCCTGTTTCTAATGCAGGTTGGAAAAGTTTTTGGTGAATAGCATACGAGACCCAAGCATCTAGACTTGCATACTCAACTTGAACTTTGTCCAAGATCGGCTTCGCCCAGTTGCTCATAGTAACTCGCTTCGGTTTTGCCATATCATAGTCCATGACTACCTTAGCAAGAGACTTCAGTCCTGCGGCTTTCAGTTCTGGTCGACCCAGAACACTGGCAGCCAGAGTGGTCAGATCAATCGCTCCATTGCATTCAAGCCCCCAGTCTCTTTTCAGCTTCAAGGCATCTCCTTTAATTCCAACACCCGGAAATTTAATTGAAGGATCTTTCAGAAAATTGACTAATTCGGTTGGGATTGAATCCAGGTATAACATCTGAACAATCAAACAATCGTCTTCTCCACAAATCTGCAATCATCAATTAGGAACAAAAACATTAAAAATAGGTGGGAAAATGTGTACACAAACACATAGCACCAGAATTGTTGACATAATCTAACGAAACCTAAATTGTGTTGTTACACAATAATCCTAAGAAGCACTGGAAAGCCATACCTGCAAAAGAGCAATTTTATGCTCGACACCTTTTCTAAAACTCGGCCTCCATTCTGCGTCCAAACCAAACACCTTTCCTATTTGCCGCTTCAACCAGGCTTGCGCGACAGCCCCTTCTTTGGTGTTAGTAACGACAATTTTCTTACCAGCCACATGGATCTCCGTAACAACTGTATTCCTGCCGTATCCAGGCTTTGAAGGCACGACTGAATCTGGTACGCTTCCAGAATTTACGACAACTGCCCTGTTGCACACATACTGCCAGACCCTCTCATGCGCTTTAACAGTTGTTTCCTCTGTTTTTGCTACTGAAGACGATGCTGCTTCGTTAACAGGATGATCTTCATGACGCTTACGCTTCTTCTTGTTAGGCTTCAAATTACCTGAAACTTTAACGGCGTCAATAGGTTCTAAGCAATTCCCAGTCGGTAACTCCCGCGCCTGTTTCAGCTCAGTTACACAAGAGGCATTTCTCTTACTTAAAGAGGTGCAGTTCGATGGGGTATCCATATCATGTCGAACCATCTGCAAAGTGTGAGCACCCAACATTTCATCAGCAACCTCCAAAGGTACATCAGGAGAACAACTCTTCCCGCACGCACATACCCTAAAAGACTCGACACGCACATACTCACACACACATATATCTCTTGTATAAAATCAGCGGAGTTAAATAAGAAGAGAGACAAAAACCATCTCTATTGAATGCATATCTCATTGTTTTCATCAAAAGTAAAACAAAAGTTAAGTTATGCAGCAATTAACAGGGCATTAACAGAACCAGGTTTAAAGATCCATAGGACCTTAACATCACATATTATTCACTTCTCCCTCAAAAAAGTTATGACATTAACTAAATTTTTTGCATATTTTTTCACATATATATATATATACTAGTTGTTCGTTATACGGGTTCAACTGGTATATGTATGTATGTATATATATATATATATATATATATTGAAGCCGGAGCCTTCTCAATTAGGTCAAGCGATTTTACTCCAGCACTCCAATTCCAACTATTACATTCAATAACATCAAGAACAAAGGAGGAAAAAAGAAGGTCTGCGATAATAAGAAAAATGCCTTCTCGCACCAATACCGATCAATGCAGACTACTCGCGAAGCAATAAACCAGAAATCAAACCGATAACACCATAGAATTCCGCAGCTAAACCAATACCACGTCTACATCGTTCCATACGAAAAAAACTACACCTAACATCAACTGGGTCGGCTACATACCCGGTCAAGAGGCTTGTTAAGATGACTGCCATCCTCCACGCTCGAAGGGTTCACGTTCCTTCTCTTCTTCCGTTTCTTCTTCTTGAAAAGCGTCCCATCATTTCCACTGCTGTTCAAGGCATCAACCTCAATCTGACCAGAGGCATTGCTAGAAGCCGCAGCGGCACATTTTCCTGCTACAAGAGAGGAAAATTCCATGGCGCGACCGCTGTCGGCCTCTCTTGCCTTCAAGGCTCCCGGCATTTCTTCGGGGAACAAAAAGCCCCTACCCTAATATGTTATACACAAAACCCTGAATGAAAATTCGACCCGTAGAAAAATTCTACAATCTGCTAGACAATTAGCAGACTTGCGTGCGGACCCCGGCAAGTCGAACGAAGTCTGGACTGTAAGCTTGCGACGCAAGCTAACGGTCACCGACTGCGGACACAACTCTGAGTGTCGCTGCACTCGAGCCGAGACAATGGAGCCCGTTGGTTTGGAGTGCTGCAACCCTACTATTGATGTCCGGATGCGGGGTTCCCCAGGTATAGAGTTCCCCTGAATGTTACGGATATCGGTTTGAGAACGTGGGAATTGGATGGATGACCAGTCAGGAGCTCATGGTTGGATTTAAACTTATAGAACATTACTTCATAGCACTTAGATAGATAGTATGTATGGAGGTAAGAGTGAAGCCTTCTTCACTCATATCAATTCTTATCTTGCTTCTAGTCTAGTTTCAAAGATCTCTAGTGTTTTTTTCTTTTAACAATAACCATTCTAATTTCTTTTTAAAATATATACTTTTTTATTTACGTTTTATTATATTTTTTTAAAAAAACCTCATTTGTTTATTTGCTTTCATTGAGTTCTTATTCTTTAAAAATTAAAAAAAGTATACTTATAATATCAGAGCTTTGTCTTTTCTTAATTAAGAGTAGATTACTTCTTTCTCTTAATAAAACATAAGTATATTAGAAGTTGTAGATTATCCTCCTCTAAATTGATATTGTTCTTAGTATTTTTTTTATTCTAAAGTTATGTCTTTTACTTATCTTGAGTGATATTGGACATATTTTTTTTAATATTATCATAGAAGAGGTTGTTATAATGAAAAATACAATAGCAAAAATATAAGAGTAATTGAGAGAGTTACTGATTATGATACATTAATTCAATTTATCACTATAAGGAGTAATAAGATTAGTAGAAAGTACAAATATATAGATGATTGGAGTTGCTTCAATATTTGTACTAAATCTTATTACTTCTCATATGGTAGAACCTCATTTAAATGTTAAAAAAATTAATAGTTGTCTTATTTAAGAAGTTTGATGATACAAGATCAAAGTATTGAAGATTCATCAATCAAATATAATTGGTGATTAAACTTCAATTCCAAAGCTATTCAATTTTAAAATCACAAGTTAGGTTTATTGAATCACTACTTTCAAATTCTATATTATCATAGTTTGTAATTTATTTGAAAAATATGATTTAATATTAGATAGATTGGAGATTTGTTTTTAAAAGTTTCAATCTATATATAAAAAATATGATAAAATTTATATTACAATTAATAAGATCTATATTTTACAACAAAAAATCAATGGATAATATTATATATTTTATAGATTTAACAATTTATAATTGATATCAAGTAAAATGATGCTCCACTCAATAGCCAATTTTTTTATAGATTAGAATATGAAGTAAAAAAATTGATGCTCAATTTATTTAATCCTTGAACATTGAATTAAGCAATTGATTTTATTATAAAAAGTGATAATCAACTTTTTGAATTTTGTTTTGAAAGTTGCACAAGTGAGTCTCAACATTATTATAATTCAATAATAATATCAATATCTTTTCAATACATACATTATAGAGTAGAGGATATGAAAATTGATGCAATATATTTTAAGCCTCTTATTGAGTAAAAAAATACTCATTGTTATTAAAAAAGATTATACTTATATTATGGAGAACTTAAGCTTATTGTTCAACATTGTCTAAATAAGTCACACAACCACAAAATGAAGAATATGGATGTTAAAAAAAATGAGTATGTTGAAAAACAAGTTTGCCTAATTATAAAAGAGACTTTGTGAGTAGAATCTTATACAACACTTCATAAAGATTCTATTCTTTTTTTAAAAACTTTTCTTTATTTTATAATAGATGTTAGTTTAGGATCTAAATGCATTAAAGATATGAATTTTGAAGAAAAAAATCCTTAATACATTCTTGTATTACTTAAAAAAGAATAAAAAATCATCCAAAGATGATAATATATTGAACTAAAATAGTTATTACTAAAGATAAGAAGACTAGAAAGTCTTGAAATAAGACTAAAGACTAAAAAGGTATTGATAAGAGTGAAGAAGGCTTTAGTCTTGCCTCCATATATATTCTTTAACTAAGAGCTATGTGAAAATATTTTATAAGACCTCTAATAGGTGTTGACTTTGTTAGACGCATGTCATAACTTGCAAGATAACTTATTTATATGTGCCCTTTATAATTAGCTTGTTCTACAAATTTCTAATATGTATGATACATGACTAACTTACTGAGCAAGTATCTAGCTTATCAATTTATTACAAACACGTGTAAAATCAAAGCATAGTCTATAAAACTTTTTGGAAGTTTTTTTAAAAGATATTATAAAATTAATCTACTTTTATTTATTTTTATTTAATTATATAGGTAATTATTGGAATAAATATATATATTTCCATGATATTATTTTCCATTCTAGAGGAGAGTTTCACAAAGAGTTATCATTATATGTTAAAAAAATCTAAGATGCAACAAATTTTATTTATCACATATTTTGATTTTTGTTCTCTTTGAAGATGGTTGATATGTCATCTTAGCCATTGATAGTGTCTCATACCAAAGCAAAAAGATCACCTTATTATTTGATTGTTGTTGAGGCTTTTATATCTTACTTCAAATAAAATATTTAGAATACTATCACAAGTCATTTTTACTTTTAATAAAATCACCAAACATCAAAAATATCTTTTAAGGTCATAATATAAAACATGTTATAACTTGCCATCTATTTGAAGAAGAACATATCATTCTTGAAGATCTTCATCTTGATTATATTATCTTGAAGGTTGTAAAATTTATAATGTCTCATCTTGTAAGTCAACAAACAATAGTTCATGTGTTGAATTTGCTGGTTGGTTTTCTATCTCCTTAGTACCACAAATACACAAAAGCTACAAACAATGATAGAAGATAGATCTAAAAACTTTTTTAGATCTTGTTTCTTTTATACAAAGATTTTTTATTCTTTATGTTAATTTTAATTGATATCATTAATAAAAAGCCTCAACCTTTTTTGTTACATTTGCAAGATTCTTTGTTGGCTGTCATAAGCATTTATTAATATCATATCTGTACCAATGAACAAGATATTTTAACAAGTTTTGGTGCTATATTAAATTTAAGACTTCTTCTACCTTGAATTCTTGATTATTATCTATTTTTATAGGAAGAAGTGGCATTTATCTTCTTTTTAAGATATTCATTGTCTTATATGGCTCAAAAAGAGATATGTAGAATATAAGATGGATCTTCATAAAATTCAATAGATATAATCAATAAGTAACAAAATTGACTTGTTTATAAATAGGAAAATGTTCAAGCCTACAATAGTCCAACTTGTCACAAGAATAAGTAGTCTTAATATTGTGACAAAGTAACCATACCTTGTCATCCACATTGAATTATGGTTATTCTTTACAATAGGCATCTATATTGATCTTTTGTTATTCTTAAGTTTCTTTTAATTGCGCCTTCATTGTTGCATGTAGTTTTGATAAATGATTTATAAAATCTTTTGCGAAAAAATTATCAACTTTTAAAAAGTCAAAAGTATCAAGTTATCGATGATAATCATAATTAATAAAAAAAGATGTTTGTTGAGTAGAAGAATATACCAAATTATTGTATATAAATTATGCTAATGGCAAAAGCGTTGTCTAATCATCTTAATGATAGTTGATGGTATATCTCAAATACTACTCTAGAATATGATTTATTCTTTTCGTTTATCCATCAGTTTAAAGATAAAAAGCTAAAGAGAGCTTTATATCCACCTTTAAAATCTTAAAAAGAGTTCTTCAAAAACTTGATACAAATTGAGTCTCCCTCTCTAATATTATATCCTTAAAAAAATCCATGATAGTAATAGATGTTATCAAGAAGCAAAATTAAGGAGACAAAATTCATAAGGCAACTTCACAAAAATTACCTACAAAAGATATTTCAATAACATTGGAAGAAAAAGCAAAAGAGATAAAAAATAAAATTAAATCAATAGCTTATAAATTACTCTCTAATATTGAAGTAATAATAGATTTAAAGAGGATATTAAAAGAACATATACTAAATGCTAAAGTGGAGTTTGCATTGAGATCAATTTTAGAAATTACAAAGAAAAAATTTCATAATGATATTATTGACAGTATTAAAAATAAGAGATAATTAATGGGTGAAGCTAAAATGAGTCATGCTATTAATGCACTGATATATAAGGATGAAGATGAGGTTGATAATTGTTACAAGCAATCACCAAGTAAAAAAAATGGTTATAATCAACAAATACATTTTGAAGATTATAGTGACAAGGAAATAGAAGCTTTAAGCTATTATATTTGAAAGCATTGGACAAGGCAATTATAAAAGTATTGGTGAAGGTAGAAGATATAGAAGGCAATTACAAAAGTATTTGGTTGACTATGGTTCTAACATAAATCTTATGTCTAATGATCTTCATAAGAAGCGGAGGTGGCTAATTGATATGGAGCATGGATAAGCAATATGAACAGTTAATAACACACAAGGTGAATTATATGGAACTTGCCCAGATGCTAAAATTTGGATTGGAGATGTTGGAATAGACCAAAATTTCTTTATTCAAGATATAACATCTTATCTAATGATTTTAGGACAACCATATATTATGGCAACATGGATAGAAATAAAAATGTTTGATGATGGTTCAATCTATGTATGTATATATAGTGAATTTGAAAGAAAAGTAGTAAAATTTTTAACTATGCTTCCTAATCATGAACAAAATCAAGATAGATTAAGAAAGACCATTATTAAGATTTGTTGAAGGATTTGAGGATTTTTAGAGAAGTACCACTATAAAATGAGATTATAAAGATACAAAAGAAGAGGTACTCTTATAAGATGTAGGTACCTTTGATGCAAGTTTTATTGGTATTTTTTAATATGAAATTATTATATATAAAAAATTTGATGATTTAAAAAAAATGATATTAAAAAAGAATTATATAGATTAGGGACATTAAAAAATGATGAGAGTATTTTAGATATTTATGAAAAAAATGGACTAGAAGATTTTTTGGATTTAATTACATCTATTGGATTAAAAGATGATGATAAGATTGTCAAAATTCATTCAAAAGAGGTTAATTCTACACTTGAAT